AAAAAAAAAAAAAAAAAAAGTTCTCAGAAAACTCTGAAAACAATATATGTTATGTAACATAACAATCCAAGCAACTTTTGCCTTGGAGTCATGTTCAAACTCACAGTTGCAAGGAAAATAAGCAACAGCGAGATGACAATCCCAGATCACACCATCACATTGCAAGTCAAATAGTCACACCGTGTCCAGATAGCAGCATTGCACCAATAATACACCAATGGAGTTTCGTAGCACTGAAAACCAATGTTTATGGAGAGMACACTCTCTCCTCTYCAACACAAGTATCCAGTTCCCTTACACTCACACTTGGCGCTCAGCGCCCAGCCTACTTCTACACAGCTACTACAGACTACAAAAAGACAATGCAACTGTTGACATCAGCAGCAGCCCAAAGTACTTGAAGATGCCGCCCATGCAGACCATCGCCAATACAAGGTACGTGCCCTCACATCATCATCATCATCATCATCCTTCACCTATCCCCTGACTTCACCCACACCTGTCCTCTCTGACACCCRAAGAACCACCCCTGCGCCTCACTCTGTCCAAGCCAAGCCCGCTATGGAGGCTGGCTATGGCGCTGCCCTCAGCAGCGCCCTGTTCCCCTACACGACCGCACGTGTGTTGCCCCTTGCTCCTCTGCCGGCAGTCAGCCTGCGAGCTTTTGCTCCAGCAGCGCTGCCGCCCAGCCAGCAAGTGACCCAAAAAAATGAGCTGCCTGGCCAGAGCTCTTTCCTTTACGGAAAAGAGCTCGCCAGCTCTCGCAGCCTGGCTGGGCTGGCCTGGGCCCAGCAGCTTCCGGAAGGCCCCAGGATGCTGTCTGGATGCAGCAGCTACTGGTTTGCTGGGCCTCGTTCGGTTGGGCGCCCAACTGTCTCTGTATGAGGCTGCGAATCACGCCCAGGGCCTGCATTCTTTGGAGAGGCCCGGTAGGCCGTGGAAATGTCTTCGGTACTCGGCCTGTGTTTCTTTCAACCAACTGGCATGTCGCAACTGCCTGGACCCCAAATATGAAATTGACAGTCGAGGGCCTCTTGCAAAAAGCCAGGCCCGCCTTCACTTAGGGCGGGTAAGGCTGCAGACAGGGCCCCGTAGGCCTACCGAGGACACTGATCCTCGCACAGTCAATCATGAGTTAAGAATCGGAAACCGGAAAAAAAAAAAAAAAAAAAAAAATTACGAAAAAAAAAAACTTTTAAAGTTTTTTTCCCGGACGGGGGTACCGGACGTATGGGGGAGACGACCGGCCCCCGGACCATTGGTAACCTAGGTTTTTACAGATTAGACTCCAGAGAGGTTTTTACAGTTACTCCAGAGTTAGATAGTCTGGTTTGGGACGCTGGACTCGCATTCCAGCAGGTGACGCTCCCCACTAATAGATGGAACAGCACGTCAGGCAAAGCCTAAATCTCGGTGGTTCTCTTACCACCACCGGGAAAATGGCCTTGCACAAGGGTTCAAAAAAAAAAAAAAACTTAGATAGTCTGGTTGATTTGTGTTTGCTGCTACAGTTGTTCTTTTCAAATAAAAACTGAATGCAGAGAGTCAAGAGTATACTGTTGGAGTCATTAAACCACCAGTACTTGGCCCATACATCGGATGCGGGCCGTCGTCGTTAACGGCCCGCAACTTCCGGGCGTCGGGGTACCAGATCTCAATGGCTGGAAGCGCCAGCCAAAACGAAGTCGAAACGGCGCCGCGGCGGTTTTGGGAAAACTTGGCACGCAAGGGGTCGGCCGCCTCGGCATCGTTAGCTGGCCGAAGTACTGGCGGTTGGTTTAACACCAGCCCTTTCCAAATGCATCCGACCACAATGACATCCACAGCTTCGCCGAGATAGAGCTAGCGTGGACGACACTGGACGTGATTGTAGGCAAATTTGCCCCGGATCTGGCTGAAATTGCGGGCAGATGCATTTTTGGAAAGGGCCGGCGTGACATCATATACCCAAAGAACAAAGTTTTGGCGTCAGTCTGACAAGCAAAGCAGTGGTGAATCTGCCTGCAATTTCAGCCAGATCCGGGGCAAATTTGATCACCTACTATCACATATAATGATAGGAAAAAAGAAAGGTGAAGTTGATGATCTACTAACAGCGACAAGATCGAAGAAGTTGACAGATCATAAAATCCATTTGCACACTCATGCATTGATGAAGTCATGGATATTCTCAAGTCCTTTGGAAAAAGAATCCCTCAGCCCTCGGTCGGCGGGAGGTTGTTGCGCAACCATAGGCTCCTCACACAACAAGGTTGTCGCAGATTGCTGAAAGCAGCCATTTTGAAGTGTTAAAAATTTTTAGATATAAAAAAAAAAAAAGGGAAAAGGAATATAATAATACATCATTCATATATCCAATGCAAACCATGTGAGGCTTTACTCTCGTGGAGGACGAACTTCGCGTAACTCTGTAAAAAAAGTGTTTTTTCTTTGGGAAAGGGCTGCAGCCTCCTGGAATATAGCAACACTGAGAGGAAGAGGGAAAAGGTTCAAAGGGATCAGAACAAGTAGTTAGTTCCTGGAATAGGACCTGAGTCACTACTACGGAGAGAGGTCTACATGAGATGGGAATTATTCGCAGCCCCCAAGGCAAAACTCGAATGACTACGGTCCCACTCAAAAGGTGATCAAAAAAAAAAAAAGAAAAAAAAAAAAGAAAAGAAGATAAAGAAGAAGAAGAAGAAGAAGGAATGCAAATACAAACTCGAAGCTGGACGCTCTTGCGAACCATCCAGCATCATCGCCCTCCTGCCTCGTCCACTCAGGGACAAATTCCTCAAGGATTTTTTTTTTTTTTTTTTTTTTNGGACAGAATTGCACACACTAAAACAGACCTACAGACTCCTCAAAAAAGACAGAAACAAACTCAGAACAGACTGTGAATCAGACAGAGTCAAACAAAGTCGGAGCACACTAGAAACAGACTCGAAACAGACTCGAACACACTTGAAAAAGAGGTTGAAAACAGAATCACACAGGCTCAAATGGACCTGTAGACTGAAACGGACTCAAACAGACTCAAACATATTCACACAGACGCGCAACACAGGTTCAGGTTCAATTCCGTAACAGACCCAAACCCACTTGAAACTGACTAAGTAAGAACAGAATTGCACAGACTCAAACACACTCAAAAAGATCCAAAACAGGTTGAGAATGGAATCAGACAGACTCGAACTGACCCATAGACGAAAACATATTAAAAAGAAACTGCAACAGCCTCACAAAGACTCGTAACAGGCTCAAACAGAGTCAAAAAGCTACGTAAAGAGACCTACACACTCGAAGCAGAAGTAAACAGACTGAAGAGAGAACCTTGTGCAGCGGGGTATTCGTCGTGAGTCTGTGTACGTGTGTGTGTGTGTGTGTGTGCTGTCTCTTATACACATCTAGATGTGTATAAGAGACAGGAGTCTTGCTGAGCCTATCAGGGGAAAAAAGGTTCAATCAGATTGGAGGAGGGACGGAACGAATCCGTCCTCCAATCAGGGGAAAAGTGGTTCAATCAGATTGGAGGACGGATGGAACGAATCCGTCCTCCAATCAGGGGAAAAGGGGTTCAATCAGATTGGAGGACGGACGGAACGAATCCGTCCTCCAATCAGGGGAGGACGGACGGAATGAATCTGTCCTCCAATCAGGGAAAAAGGGGTTCAATCAAATTGGAGGGCGGAACGAATGCGGCTCATGGGGGAGGAGTTATGCGTCCTCAAAACCACCAGCACTTTGAGGATGAGATGTCTCTGATAGCATCGTTGGTTTTGTTTGTCATTTAAAATGATGAATAAGGACAGAGTTGATTTGCTGTATGTTGTTCTACGTTTGTGTGAAGCGGACTCTCTGGGCGCACATCATATGGAATTGATGGTAGTTTGAAACTGTGCTCCGCGTTGTCGCCATTACCTGTCTTCATGTTTACTACCGTCTTCACCCGAATAGAAGGCCCGGTCATTATAGCCGTCCTTGGTGCAATTTTCAGTCCAGATACAGCCATAACGACCGGGCATTCTATCCGGTTGAAAACGGTACGCCAGCTTACAGCTTCCTTCGTTTGCGTTGTATGACAATACCACGACTTTTGTTAGTACTCCATGTGTTTGATGATCTGTTGCATTTTCCCTTGGCCTACTTTTGTCATTCCATATCAACAAGGAGTGCATCAGTTGTGCACACGTAAATATACGAATCAATGTGTCATGATTGGAGGATGGGTAGCAGGTGCAGCAATCATTTGAATGTGCCACGGACTGGAATAAATTGAACCAATCCACCGATCAAACAGATTACACAGGCCCCAAAAGAAATTACAAATCCAAAAGAGAAAAGAAGAAGAAGAAGAAGAAGAAGAAGAAGAAGAAGAAGAAAAGAGGAGGAGGAGGAGGAGGAGGAGGAGGAGGAGGAGGAGGAGGAAGATGATGGCGGCGACGAAGGCGACAAGGATGTGAGGATGAATTGATGGAAAGTTCACAGTCTTTGTACAGAGCAAGTGCAATCACAATGTTTTAGGAAAATAGATACACAGAGGAAGCAGGGGAAATAATGACATGGGTGTAAACTAAAACCCTAATGAACCTGGTCCTATTCAGTTCCATGATCCATCCAATAAGTCGTCAGTCAAGGAAGGCGTCCCAGCTCCTCCTGATTCGCCTCAATCTCTTTGACAAGGTCTTCCCGAAATAATGCTTCCCTTGCCTCCATCTCCGCCTTCTCCTGATTTTCATATATCCAGTTTCCAGTGCCATCGCCGCCTTCACTCCTATACTCCTCGCTATCGTACAGGGGGTCATTCATCGAGCCAAAGACAACACAACCCCATGTGAACACACAGGCATACAACATGTACACAGTCTTGATGGCTTGGTCACTTAGAACCCAGGTCGACTCCTCCACGATCACAGGGCGTGGGCGCAGAATATCTGCCAGCAGTACGTAAACATCTTCCGTCCCAGGAGGGAGGGCTGCCGCAGCTACTCGTGAACCAGGGGTTCCATTTTTTGAAGGGTCCCGCATTCGTCGTCCGCGGTCGGAGTGGGACAGCCCATACATCATCGTTAGGACAACGCTCGTTCCGTTCAGTTTCCGCAGTCGGTTGTCGTCTCTCTTCCCCGCGACCGCCTTCGCCTTCGCCTTCGACGCAGGTAGCCCTGCTGTCGGAGAGGCGCGACAAGCTCTGGTGCGTGTACGGCTGCAGCGATGACCAGGCAAGAGTGGAAATGCCCTCCAGCCACAAGGTTGAGGCTGTGAAAAAGAACCACCCCCTTCGAAGGACTGTCCGCCACCGTACCTACGCTGCGAGTTGTCATTCAAGGAGGCCGGTTTGATATCAGGACATCCTGAGGAACTGCACTGATGAACCTGACGGCCTGCTGTCGAGCAGAGGGCCAACTGGGAAAATGCGGTGGCAGAAGCCATCGCAGCGACGTAGACTACTTTTGTACCAGACCCACGCACTTGCACACTCCTCAAGAGTTGAGCCGACACCTTCCTTCGTGCACTTCTATTCTGTACCTGCTCGCCACACACCGTTCAAAGCTTTGGATGCCTTTCACTATACGAAATGCGGATATGCTGAGCATTGGTTTGTTTGTCTTTGTTGTTGTCGTTGGTTTTGTTTTTGTTTTTATTTTTGTTTTTATTTTTATTTTTGTTTTTGTTTTTGTTTTAGTCCGAAAGTTTGTCACACAATGATGAATGATAAGGCTGGGATAGATGCAGTCAAACCACAATGAAGGGGAGCAAAGTATCTGGGTTCCAAATTCTCGTTTGCAGATGCGACCATGAAATCGAACATTTGGAGGCCATCAAGGCTGACTCTCGAATTCGCTTTATGATAGACAAACAGGGCCATGCAGTTTAAAAACAACAATTTGTATAGAGTCTTCTTCAAAAACAAGTATACCAATCTATACTCAAAAAACTCTTTCCAAAAAAAAGTTAAAATACACAAAATCATTCAACTTATGGAGTTCATTGTCCCTCTGTGGACCATTTCTAGCAGGAGGACATTTGTTACTCGACTCGACGTCGATCCACTTTCGCATCACAAACAGCGTGGGGCAAGGTGTCAATTTTCTAACTTCCATAAGGGGAGGAGGGGGGAAGAAGGATCCAAGCCTCTCGACAAAAAAAAGAATACAACCCGTTCGAACCTTAGGTTTGCGGGACACAGAGAAGGATCCAAGCCTCTCAATGAATTAATAATTTAATATTGTTCTTGCCCTTTCACATTACGACAAGCAAGATCACCTCATGCTTGCACTGGCCCCCATCTTGACCAAAGTGTCTATTCATATACTAGCTAGCTACCGGTAGGCACCAGAAAGGGCAAAAAAAAAAAAAAAAAAAAAAAAAAGACGACGACGAAGAAGAAGAAGAAAGGAAACTTTTTTTTTCTTTTTTTTTTAACTTGTCCTTTCGTAACCCGACAGTTAGAGGAGCATCCACCCAACGACGGAACACGGTCTTGTTCTGAGCGTTCCATGGTCATGACAGGTAAGACCTGTCGAGAAGCCTAGGCAGGGGTCGGAGGCGGAGGCAGGGATTTAAAAAAAAAAGGAATGTTGTCAAAGGCTCGAAGCACAATATCAATGATCTTAATTAACTGTAGGGGCAGCCAAAAGCCCTCGTGAAATGAGAAAAAAAAGATAGCGCAAAAGAAACAGATATAAAGCACTCCACAAACACCCCATTGCTTGTACAGATCCAGTCCTCCCCCCCGGACTAGGTCCAGACAGGGTTCCAGGTCCATCGCCCACTACTAGCTTAGCGCCCGCGTTGCGGGCGGTGCCGGCGATGCCTGCACCAAAAAAAAGACGAAAAAAAAAATCAGTCAATGTGCGAATCGCCGCATACAGACTTATTTAAATGGACCTGTAGACTGAAAAAAAAAAAACTCAAAAGGGACTCCAAACAGGCTCAAACGGACTGTCCCACAGCAACAGTCAGATGCACAGACTGAAACAAACCGACAGGCTCAAGAAAGACTGAAACAAACCAAGAACAAACTGAGAATCTCAAAAGACTCGTCTCAAAAGACTCAACCGAAGTCCGAACAGAAATAAAATGACTTTTAAAACTTAAAACAGACTCAAACAGATTCAGTTCTGGTTGAAAAAAAAAAAAGAATCAGACAGACTCAAATGGACCTGTACACTGAAAAGACTCAAAACAGACTCAAACAGATTTACAAGGCCTCCAAAGAGGCTCAAACGGAGCCGTAACAGACTCAAACAGACTTCAAACTGACACAGAAAAAAAAAAACAAAAAACTGCAGAAACTCAAACAGACCTACAGACTCAAAACAGACTGAAAAAAACTCAGAACAAATCTGAGAAAATCAGATAGACTAACACAAACTCAAAAACACACACAGAAAAAAACAGACTCAAACACATTCGAAACAGATTGGAAACAGAATCAAACAGGCTGTTTCCCATTGACTGTTGTTTTTTAGTCTAATAAAGTTTTAGACAATGAAAAACAGACTAAAAAAAAAAGAGCCTGAAGCAGACTCACACAGACTCAAGGCTCAAACCGACTCAAACAGTCCTGTAACAGAGTGAAAGACTTTTTTTTTTTTTTTT